GTGACCTCGGTGCCCTTCCCCTTGTCCAGGCGTCGAGACGCCCGAGAGGACCCTTCGGCTGATGGGGAGCCTTGTAGCTCTTTCGTCCTCCGCCTCTTAGGATTAGGGGAGACAGTGAACTTCCCTTAGACGGGGACCTCCGCGCTAGGGGCTGGAGTGCCTTGGTCCTCCGCCTGGCTCGATGACTTAAATGAGGCTCCTCCACCCCTTTTCCTCAGCTTTGGGATGATGTACCTTATGTCAGAAGATACTGCTGCACAATAAAGAAAAGTCAGGCCCAAGGATCCTCAACTACTTTCCTTCCTTCTACTGAAAGGGTAGGAAAAATATGACTCGACTTACCACTGAGGAGATCTGCGGGTGGGGACAATCGGTTCACGCGGAGGCTCGAGGATGATAGCTAACCCGTAGAGTAGACGGTTCTCTGGTGTGTTGAGAGCAGCAGAGCTTCGGCAGGAGTCGGCGAGGGATAGAATACGCTCGACACGTTTGAGCGCAGCTGTAGAAAGCCTCAGTCGAGTAACGACTTCACCTGCACGAGGAACAACGCATGTAAGATGGCCGCGAATGAAAGGATGTCATGAAAGTTCAACAGAAAGGATACCTACAGTATTTGTTGAATACGGTCTGTGTCCCGAGAGGACGCTCGCCGTCGAGCGGATGGGTGTTGAAATTGCGCCTAAGAAAAAAGAATTGGGGCTTCCACCCGTGACAGCTGGAGGTCTTCTCGACCATGACAGAGGGAATGTGAGGTTTGGACTTAGAGTGAGCTCTAAAGTAGAAAAATCTCCTCTGACCGGGGGAAGCCCTAAGGGCATAGCAATACATAAATTCCTCGATGGTTATGTCAATGTTCAAAAACTTTCTCTGCAAAATGATCATGGAGTTTATTATCATCCAGCTGTTGGGTGACAGCTGGGCAGGAGAAATCCTGTGAAGGCTACAAAGGGCTTTCACGAAAGGGTGAAAGGGCAGAGTCTGCCCGAAGCTGAGGGACCGCGTGTATACGATCAAATGGTGGGGAGGGGGGTTATGAGCCCTATCGTTGGAAGTCGGGATGATTAGGTAAAAGTGGCTAGCGTCGATCCCTGTGTCATTGAACACCTTCAGGTCAACCTAGGGCTTTACCTTTGACAAGTTGACATCTGTCGCCATCCCGGTGACGCCATTGGTCGATGCCAACCCATAACCGCGCCCCCAGCAGGGCTGACCCTTAGGCTATCATCCTTAACGTCGAGGAGGATCAGCTCGTCCGGATGAGAAGTTGAGACCGACCCTTCGTTGTACTCCTCCATCTGACGAAGCAGGGAGTCCCCGCTGTCATCTGAGGACGTGTTCAATGTTACGGCCTCCTCAGGGTCTTCCCTAACCCTGGAAGTAGAGACCTTTCGACCTATAACTCGTTTGGGCGGCATGATCTGAAAAAAGGCACATAATGGGTCGAGGTAAAAACCTAGTGGTCGAGAGGCCAAAAGCAGAATCTGGAAAGAGAATTCTCAGGGCAAAGTGATCCTAAAGCCTGGAACTTTATCACCAGGCCCACACAACCCAGACATGGGTGTCCAACCTATGAACAAGAAAAAAGAACTCACTAGGGTCCCTAGGAACCCAGAAGTGAGTTTGAGAACCCCAACGCAGTCGACTAAACCCCAGCGGGTGCTACCACGACAAGGTTCAACCCAAGTTAATACGGCAGTGCTCAGGTAAGTTCATTTTACAGTTATGTGAACCTTTAAAATGCCCATTTTTGCAGGAACCAAGTCCAGAATCACACCGAGAAATAAAAGAGTGCCAGAAGGCTTACTAGTTCTTACAGAAAGCCGTAAGACCGAGAAGTTGAGGTCGGAGATGGTGGTTCCTGGTGAGAATCCGGCAGAGTAACGGCGTTCTGAAGAATGGATAATCGTAGAACTGTGTCAAGGGGCATATATATAGGCCCGGGAGAGAAGCTAAGGAGACTGAGAAGTCCTAACGACACCAGATCTCGACCGTCGAATTTGAATTAACCTCATCCAACGGTGGACCCGAAAAGACGTGATCCAACGGTTGGGATAAGAGCGGGAGAAATAAATATGATCGGACGGTTGCAGCTTTCCCCTCGATTGCCACGTGTCGCTAGGGTATGGGGATGTGACCGTTGACATGATCGACGAGACTGTTCCACTGCCCGAGGTACTCGCAGTAATGATGGCGCAGTACCTACGAGCAGCCGCCGTAGTCTGCAGGAGGGAATCTTCCACGTGGATCTCTCGACGCTACATAGCCTGGAATATCACAACGCGACATCCAAGGCTAGGGGTAATTGTTACGCCACAGTCGAGGGATCGACTGTCCCTTTGGGTGACAAGTACCGAGGACTCCCCGTTGAGGACCGGTCACTGACATCGAGGGAACCAGTGTGTCCGGAGTGCCCTTTAGACGTCGAGAAGTCACGTGCGCTGACGTGCGTCGAGGGCCCAGCCCATGTGGTGAGGACCCGACGTTGAGACATCAGCCCAGTCAAATCCGCTGTCAGTCCTGGGGAAGACACACTATATCACCTACCGCCACTGTTGGAGTCAGGAAATCAGGCATTGGGTAAAGTGTGGTTAACCTGACCGGGAAGCAACAATCAGGGAAATCCAGCTGCCAAATCCCCTAATTAATGGATAGAGGTTGATTTTCTCGGGAAGTGCAGGGGTTTCTCACATGTATAAGGCCTATAAATAGAGCCACAAAAGTTCATTACTTTTTTTTTACACACTCACTGAGAGACTTCTACAGAAGTTGTAATCTACAGCATATTAGTGCATGCACAAGTGGATGTAGGCAAATAAATTTAGCCGAACCACTATAAACTCTTGTCTCATTTACTTATTCAGCACCGTTAATTCCTAGTTAATACGTGAGAGATTAGTGTGAGTGTTCTCGGAGAATTAGTAATTCTTTGTTGATTAAAATCCACCATCGACAAGATCTACAAGGAGAAGGGAGGCTGACATGGACAATCAATGAAGTTCAGAACTAAGTCTATAGGGAATCTATAAATACCATAAATGCGAGGGCCAAAGCATCTGTTTTTCGTAATTTCCTCTAATTAACTGAAACTTTGTCAACTTAGAGAGAAAAAAAAGAGTTTCAGTGAGAGAAAAAATCAAATTAGCTGCTTCTAAATTGAAACAGAATTTGACTCTAAAACCGATAACAACTGAGGGCCCGTTTAGTTCGCTGATTCGAGTTGAGATGTGATTTTATGTGAGAGCTTTTTACTGTAGCAAAAAAGTTAGATGTGATTGTTTGTGAGAGCTTTTTACTGTAGTAAAACTCAAATTCTAAACTCGAATCAGCGAAATGAACGGGGCCTGAATTATTTTAATTCGACCCTAGCTCTAAAGTGCTACATGGCTTTCAAAATTAAGCCTATACAATATGTTCAATAATAATAATAATAATAGTAATAATAATAATAACTCCATAGCCTAATTGGAGTTTCATGACCTATAAATCACTGTTCACACAACTCTTCCCTGGCTAATTGTAAGGATGGCAACTCATGTTAGTTGGTTGGGTTTGTGTTCACCTGTTTATTAATTGTGTCAAAAAATATTAATCTAAACACGATATGTTTATTAAACATGTCAAAATTGTCAATCTAAACATGACCTATTTATTAATCTTGTTAATCGTGTCAGCCCCTATAACCCATTTAAATAAATATATTAAATAAAAAATTAATATAATAATGACTTATTTTAACACGGTCAAGATATGTTTAATATGTTTATTGGTCAATTTATCTTTTCGTTTAAGAAAAATAAATGAATTTTACTTACAAATATTAAAATTCACATTATTTGTATTTAATATGTCATATAAACTTTTATGTTATATCACTTATAATTAGATTATAGATAACACATATAATTAATCATGTCAATTCGTGTTACTTCGTGTTAGGAGGTCAACTCTAACTCAACCTATTTATTAATCGTGTTAACCCGATTATTATCTAAACTCATTTATAATAAATCCAAACCCGCTAACTTTATGAGAATTTCTAATTGTGTCGTCGCGTCTCTACCCGAATTGTCAGCCCTAACTAATTGTCTCCGACCCATCGTGTTACTTTCACATATGTTTCCTAGAAACAACACTGTTGTGATCAAAGGAAATAGTTGGCAATCCCATATTCTTATCATTGGCAAAACCACAGCTCAAAAGTGCCCAGAAACACACGTAGAAAAACCGTACATAGGATTGTTATGATAAGAAACGTTGTCGCCTTTATTATTTTTCTTTTCTTTTCCTTAGAGTTTAGCTTTCAAGCAGCCAAATAAAGAACAGTTAAGCTTTGAAGGAGAAAACTCATCTATCTGAATACCTCTAGCTGGAATGATTCCAAATACGGAAACGTCAAAATCATGCATGCTTTTTTCTTCTCCCCCACCCCGAAATAATATTTGGCATGTGGATGACGACGGAGACCCAACATGTCCTTTTGCAACCACTGTTTTACCTCAATTTTTATTGTCTTCACTTCCATAATTTTGTTTTCGTTAGTGCTTACCGATTCATGAATTTGAAAAGGACTTTTATTTAAAAAAAAAAAAAAAACGACAGAAAAGCTCAATCATATTGCCATATTATATAAAATGTCAAAATACATGTTATTGTATACACTTGCATGCCGGCGGCCGTTAGAAAGGACCTTGTCATGTTTGGTATAAGACCAAAACTAGATCCAACGGCTCATATTCTTCCTCCAAGTATCGTTACTTTAATTTCATATATATATATATATATATATTTTTTTTTTTTTTCTCATTCGCAAGTGAAAATAGAACAGAAACTCTAATGAAAATTATCCTTTTTCTGTTTTTGCTTTAGTAAATTTTGAAATAATCTCAAAAGCAGTCAACCCATCAAAAGGGAGTTTATTTTATTTTCTTTTTGTTTGGGTGGTTTTATAAAAACAATAATAGAAATTTTCAACAGCGAAAAAAGAAAGGGGAAAAGCAAAAAAGCCAACTCGCTTATCTTGTACGAGTACAACTTGTTCTGTAATCAACTTGGACTGGCTAAACTTTTCCAAATTAGCCTTCCCTTCCTCTCTTCTTCTTGAAACAAAAGCCATATCTTTTCAAGTAAATTAAACAACAATTCTTCAAAGCAAGTTCTTATACTTGACAACATCTGATTCAATCTTTTTGCGACACTTTTCATGGCGATATCTCCCCACGCATTCCCGCCCCGAATGCGGCGGCCATCGGCGGAAGCCTTCGTGTCTCCGAAGCTAATATCGGAGACAAATCTTGTCGAATCGCTTCTTCTTCTAACAAAAGAGATCAGCGCTCTTCAACCTCTCCAATTCCTCCTCCGGCGAAACTCTTCCTCCTTGATTCGCAAGGCGAAGCTTCTCGCGATCCTCTTCGAGGAGCTTCTCCGCGGCCCGGCCGCCAATCTCTTCTCCACCTCCGCCGTCCTCTGCTTCGAGGAGATGTTCATCGTCCTGCAAAGAATCAAGGCGCTCCTCGAGGACTGCTCCAACGGAAGCAGGATGTGGATTCTGATGCAGAACAACTCCATTTCCAACAACTTCCACGAGCTCATGGCAGATTTGTCGACTTTACTGGATATTTTCCCCGCCAGAGAGATCGGATTGAGCGAAGACGTGGAGGAGCTTGTTTGGCTGGTGAGAAAACAGTGCGCCGAGACAAAAGCCTTCGTCGATCCAGACGACGAGAATCTCAGACGCGAGGTATTGAATCTTCTCGATCGGATCAAGAAAGAAATCGTTCCTGATCAGAAGAATCTGTCCGAAATTTTCTCCAGATTAGGGATCCGCGATTCCTCCACTTGCAGAGACGAGATCGAGAGCCTCCAAGACGAAGTCCAGAACCAAACGGACGACAAATCCAGGTCCGACGCCATCGCTCTCATCGGCCTCGTCCGCTACGCGAAATGCGTCCTCTTCCGCGCGTCGACTCCACGCGCCGCCGAGATTCGGCGCCGGAAATCCTCGTCCGAAATCGCCTTTCCGACAGACTTCCGCTGCCCGATAAGCCTCGACGTAATGCGGGACCCGGTCGTCGTGGCGACAGGTCAGACGTACGATCGCGAGTCGATAAGGCTGTGGATCGAGTCAGGACACAACACGTGTCCCAAGACAGGTCAGACCCTGGCCCACACAGAGCTAATCACCAATCGCGCGTTGAGGAATCTGATCTGTATGTGGTGCCGGGAGCAGAAGATTCCCTTCGATGCAACGGACAGCAAGGACAGACGAAAAGGCGTTGTGTCCAACAAAACGGCGCTCGAAGCGACAAGAATGACGGCGTCGTTTTTGGTAAACAAGCTATCCATTTCCCAGTCAACGGACGACACAAACGGCGTCGTTTACGAGCTCCGAGTCCTAGCCAAAGCCGATTCGGAGAGCCGAGCCTGCGTGGCCGAAGCGGGAGCCATACCTCTATTTGTTCGGCACCTAGGCTCGGAGCACCCGAATCTCCAAGTCAACGCCGTGACAGCGATACTCAACCTCTCCATCCTAGAAGCGAACAAAACGCTGATAATGGAGACGGAAGGTGCACTAAACGGTGTTGTCGAGGTCCTAAAAAACGGCGCCACGTGGGAGGCGAAGGCGAACGCCGCGGCGACGATATTCTCACTCTCTGGTGTACCCTCCCACAGGAAGAAGCTCGGGAGGAAGACACGTGTGGTGAGGGGATTGCTCGAGTTGGCCAAGGAGGGTCCCACGTTCTCGAAACGGGACGCTTTGGCGGCGATACTGAATTTGGCGGCCGACAGGGACGGAGTGCTCAGGCTGGTGGAGGCCGGCGTGGTGGAGACGACTGTGCAGCTGATGGACGGGCTACCGGAGGAGGCGGTGACCATAGTGGAGGTGGTGGTGAAGAGGGGAGGGCTGCTGGCGATTGCGGCGGCTTACGGCGGGATTAAGAAGTTGGGAGGAGTTTTGAGGGAGGGGTCGGATAGGGCGAGGGAGAGCGCGGTGGCGGCGCTTGTGACGATATGTAGGAAGGGAGGGGCGGATATGGTGGCGGAGCTGGTTGGGGTGGCGGGGATCGAGAGGGTGGTTTGGGAGGTAATGGGGACGGGGACGCCGAGGGGGAGGCGGAAGGCGGCGACGCTGCTGAGGATTCTGAGGAGATGGGCGGCTGGGTTGGATGGAGATCATTACCATCTCACGAGCTATAGTGGTCATAGCACTACTACTGCTACAACTACTACTGTGGTCTTGCCCGGCTGAAGCTGATCATATTTGTTGGTTGAGTTTGTAAAATTTTTTTTTCTTTCTTTTTTTCGTTCATTATTTGTTCTTTGGTTACATATATGTGAAATCTATGAAAAATCTTGTGCATGAATATAATTGGTTCCTTCTTTTTAGTAAAAAACTCTTTTGCGTTTTGAGTTATGACCGTCAATTGTATTATTGTAAAAGTTGCCGCTGAGTATTCATTATAGGGTTAATAAGTTGAAAGGCAAAATTACAAACAAATAAAAAATGTTAATCTATTTGTAATAATTAGTATTGACGGTGAATTTTCGCCAATAAAAACAGGCCGGTTTACTTTTGAGTTTTCCGTCACATTACCGGCTTAAATATAGGTTATATGTAGGAGTTTGATGTGCTTGTGGTATTTTTTGTGTAGTAGGCAATATAAGAAAAAATACTTAAGGTAGGAAAACGCACAAGATTTATAGTGGTTCACTCTTATAAAATAAAGAGCTACATCCATTGTGGTTTGTTATTCCTTTTTGAGATTGTTACAATTTACAAATTGCTCTTTCGTTCTTTCTTTCTCAGGAAAAAATCAACCTCTTTTCCGTATGAGGTTTCTCTCCTTTTATAGCCGAGCTTCCTTTGTTGGAGGGGTTTTCTCCTTTAGGCTGAACAAGCACTCAAGTGGTCTGCCTTTCTAGGCCCAGCCCGTAGCCCACTAATAACTTTTTGTGCACTGTTCACTCAGCTAATTAGTCTCCCATTACGGCTCTATGCACAGCTGTAACCCTTTTCTGTCCCCCGTAGGGGTGGTTTAAGGGTTTGCATTTAATGCCTGTACTGCGGACATCCCTTACGTAGCTTGCCACGTCAGGCTTTCCCCCAAGGAGCATTCCCCTCGTCGCTAGTGTTGTTTAGCCCAATCGTTCTTCTTGGCGGTAGATTTCTATGTTGTAAGGTCGACAGTACGACCTGTCGACGTCACATGAAATCGACGCCCTAAGTCGGGCTTCTTAACGACGGAAGGGAAGGGGGTCCCAGACGTCGAGGGTTGTTGAGGAGAGGTTAAGGCCACGTGCCATGTTGTCCTCCTTCCACGTGTCTTCCATATTTTCCCCCATAACAGCTACCCCCCAGGTCGAGGGTTTCTTTTAGACAGCCTCAAGCTTAGGTTCGGTTGTCCTTCCGTGCTTCGGGTGTGGGAAACCGGTCCCGAGCCTTCACTCGCAATGATGGTCTGGATGCTTCATATTTTCTTGAGGAACGCAACCGTCGCGTCAGTCACTTCCCTATGCTGACGTGAGGCCTTATTTTGAAAGGATGTATGTGAGCCCTTGGATCGCACCCCTTCATTTTCTCGCCTTTGCTTTGCTGTCATTTGATCTGGGAAAATTACCCCTTCCGTTGGATCTCCACAAGCCTTATCTGACGGTCAGGGGTCGATGGCCTGTTTTTCTTTAAATATTCTCTAAACCGAAGTCATTCTCTCCAAACAAATTCCTTAAAACCGCCGTTACTCTGCCTGAATTTCTCCCTGCGAATCTCCAACTTGTGCTCCCTGCTTCATTTGGTGCATCGTGAAGCTACTCGGTTTCAAAACTCCGTCCAGACTCCAACTCATCGGTAAGCTTTAATCGTTGCTTATTTGCATTGCTGGATGATTTTACTGGCTTTCCCAGTGAATTATAGGTGTTGATATGCGAAATGTAGAGGACAATAGCTTTTTATGCTTTATTCGACCCACATAGGGTAGTTTTTCCTGCTTCCTGGTTGAATGCGAGTCTAGCTTCTGGGTTCTGATGAACCTTGGTTGTCACGATCATTTGTCGTCACCATCTTCATATGAATGGTCGACGTTACGTTGGGGTGTTTCAGCAGTCGTTGTCTAGAATAGTCGTCGCTTATAATGACCGCCATTTTTTCCTTCCTCTCGACTTAGGATTTTGATGTAGCTCCTTGTCTTTTTTTATTACCAGAATAATGGCCCCAAGAAACACCCGTCGAAAGGGACCGTCTGTTGTACGACCAGACTCCCCTTCTGTGGCAGAGATTTCATGGCCATCCTCCTCATCGGATTGCGACTCATTATTGTGGGAAGTCGAGAAACATATGGCCGGCCCAAGCGACGACTGTAGCGATACTTATGACAACGTCTGCCGAATGATCGACGAAGACAACGATAGGAGGCCTTTCATAGGTGGCAGCGTGTGTGGGGTCACCGCTTCTCTGGTGGATGCCCCGCTGGCTGCTACAAGTGGAGACCCGGATCGGCCTTCCTTCACAACCGACACCGTGGCGTCGAGAGTCCGGAATAAGGACATCATCCGGGCGGTGAAGGAAGGATGCATTGACGGGAGGTGGTTCGAATACCTCCTCCCAGACATGCATTTTAGGACTAGCATGCCTCTGACCGGATTTCTCCCTGTCTATACCAGGGCCGTTACCGCGGGGATGACCCTTCCAGTTCATCCCTTTGTAAAAGATTATTGCCACTTTTATGGCATTTCCCCTGCCCAATTGGCGCCAAATTTCTGGTATCGCTTTGCTGGCGCCTTGATTTTGTGGAACCAGAAGTTTGACATGGATCTTCCTCTGGATGAGTTTAGATTCATGTACAGACTGTGCCATGTCGCCAAGTATGAGGGGTGGTATTTCCTGAGTGGGCACGGGAGATCTCAGCCCAGATTTGACAAGTTAATTTTGGGCATCCTCTCGTCGTCACATGGGTGGAAACCCATGTTTTTTTATGATACGCGGACCCTTTAATTTTCATCCCAACGACCGCTTGCCCCGCTGAAGGAAGGTGCAGGCGTCGTTTGGGAACATGGGTGAGACTTTGATTCCCTTTCTTTTACCTTACTCCGCTTTTTTCCTTCTTACGCTGACAGCCTTTTTATCTTTACAATGAGTTAGGACCGGCCAAAGTTCTCTGGAAACAGTTTGGCGAGGATTGAGAAAGCCTTCTCGCTCCCGTCCGAGGTTCGCCACATTGACACCCTCCTAACCCAGGCCAATCTTTGAAGTGCCGAGTTAATTCAAAGACCTTACTGACCTCGACGCTGTCCGCAAATACTTTCATTTAAGCGACGAAGGTAAACCCATGTTCCCGCCGCCTTTCTTATAATGGCATTTTGTTTATCCAAGCGTCGATTATATTTTTGTCTCGTCATTTCTATAGAAATGGCGTTTTTGAGGATTCAGCTTCTCGGTAGTCAGCCGTCTGAGCCAAGCCAGCAGCCCCCGCTGAGCCAACAACCTCCTTCTAAGGGAAATGAGAAAGCTAGCTCTTCTTCTCAGGTGCCGAGGAAAAGGAAAGCCTCAAAGGTTCCCTCGGCGTCGGAGGAGGATCTTGCGCTAAAAAAGAGGCGCAAGGAGAAGATGCCGGTGGTAGAAACTTAGACGCCGACGGTCCCCATTCCTGACGTAAACGTTCTTTTAGCGCCGAGGGAACGCGTGCTTATCCCGGGGGCAAAAATTATGGATCCTAATTTCCAAGTCCCAGACGTCTCTGACGCTGAGATTGAGGCGATACTGAAACTTCCCCTTCGCTTCTCCCTTGTCTTCCAGGCTCTATATGAGTTTTTACTCGAGCCGCACTCGGTTGCTGCCACTCAATTTTCTTTGGTTGATCGCCAGCGAAAGCAGATCTCTTTCCAAATTCACGTAAGACTTGATCGAGCTGCCTTTTATTTTTGCTGGTTTCGCCGCTTTGTATCCTTATTTTCTGACCTCCAATTTTTCAGGGCCTAATCCTCGCCATTCTCAACCTTCTCGACCTAGTTAAGGTTGAGGAGCGGGTTAAAGAGATGGATAGCGTAAAGGTCGAGCTTAACTCTCTTCTCGGTGATGCTAAGACTAAGTGTGCGAACGCCGCCGAGGAGAGAGATGTGGCCGTGGCCAAATTGAAGAGTTTGGAAGATAAACTGGCTAGGCTAACCGCCTCGGTTGAGGACCTTACAAAGCGGGTAGATACATCTGAGACGAAGTTGGTAGAAGCAACTGAGGCGGTGAAGAGACGTTTTGCTGAGGGGAAGAAAGAAGCTGAAGCCGAGGCTGCAGCAGTTTTTGATGCCAAACGTGCAGAGATTATTGAGGAGTTCAAGATTTTTCCGGAGCTCATCGACATTCGTACCAAGGATTTTCAATCCGTTGGTCGACAAATCATCGATTTGATAAAACAAAAGCATCCCGAGTGGGACTTGGGCTTCCTTTATGATGCTCCTCCTCCTGCTGGCGACGACAACTCTTCCCCGCCTGGTGATGACTCGGCGGTTGGCGGCGAGGCTTGAAGATTTTTTTTTAACTGCTGTCTGTAACTTATATGACATTGGTTTGAACCTTTTTTTATTTCATTTGTGTTTTATAAAAAGCCAGTAGATTTCATACCTTGCTCATTTGTTTATTATGCATTCACCTCTCCCTTTTGAAGGAGTCGTTGTTGATTTTACCCCTTAGGGTCGTTTATCTTTAGAAAATTTCGTAAAATTTTTTAAGTTTTTCTTCGCCTTTCTTCCATGGAAGAGTCGGCGTTACCTCTTACCCCTTGGGGTCGTCGCCTTAGAAAATTTCATAAAATTTTCAAAGTTTTTCCTCGCCTTTCTTCCTTAGAAGAGTCGACGTTAGCTTTTGCCCCTTGGGTCGTCGCCTTAGAAAATTTCATAAAATTTTCAAAGTTTTTCCTCGCCTTTCTTCCTTGGAAGAGTCGGCGTTAGCTTTTGCCCCTTGGGGTCGTCGCCTTAGAAAATTTCATAAAATTTTCTAAGTTTTTTGCCTGTGATCCGTAGATCCCTTATTGCCCCCGTTGTCTGTTTAATATACCTTGGTTTTTTAAGCAGCCAAGTTTATTCGAGGGGTGAATTCTTCTTACTTTTGGACAATATTACTATAAATTCATAATTTATTTAAATTGCCAAAAATGTAACTAAAATGCGTTTAAAAAACTACATACATTATTGGTAGTACTGCTTTAACTGTTATGCATTCTATGGATACTGAACCTTTTTACCGGAGAGGCTTTCCAAGATGTAGGTGCTGGGCCGCAATACTTCTCTTATTTGGTAGGGTCCTTCCCAAGTTGGGCCCAGAGGACCAGCATTTTTGAGTTTTGTACTCTGTGTTACCCTTTTTAATACTAGGTCTCCTGGGGCGAACCTTCATTTTTTAACTTTTTTG